GTTTGACTTTGAGCAATTGTTAAAACTTCAAAATACTTGGATCAAACGGGTCAAGGAGTACTGCACCTTGCACCTTGACCACAGCACAATGTGCATTGACAAATTATGGCGAATAAGAGAAACTTAGGATATGTCTTTACCTACCAAGATCACTACAGGCCCGGAAGGTCACATCGTCATCCTCACACTGGCCATTAGCTTATATGCTCTCTTAACACTCGACAGGTCACCATTTGGGGTTGGTGAGAAGATTTCAGAAAGGTACTTTGACATAAGATGCCAAAGAGAAGAGAAGATTAATTGTTAATTTATTTGTTTCTCCATTCACACTTCTTCGCCATCTCCAACTACAAATCTAGTGGATGACGTACTCCTGAAAAAAGGAGGCAGGAGAAAGAGTAGATTCTTGGTGGTACCATTCCTCCATAGAAAAAACAACAGTGGGTGCTTTTGTGAAAAATCATCATATATGTCATACCTACGTAAATAAAGAAACTTCATTTTTCTTCTAATGTGGGTTGCCCCGGCCTATGCATCATCCTGATGCATCATGCATGCATCCAGTTTATTAAAAATATTTTCAAAGTGTGAATCAGTCATGAAAACAGAGGGGGAAAAAGTAGACAAAAAACTGTCTTGTTGGGTCAGGTTAATGCGTTGGATACCGAGGTGGACACTCTTGTGCTTTCCGTCGAGGGTACACTGTGACGTGTTCGTGTGCGAACAACTGCTATAGGGCCGGTTGTTGCGAAAGTGTCCTTCTCAGCTCGAGCTCGGTATGAACAGTAAAAAAACAAAACAAAAAACTGATTTTCTTTTTGTAAACTTTGACAAATGTTTTGAGTTCTTGCAACATTTCATCATCGAATGACATTCGTGAAAGCATGACAAAAAAAAATCAACACTCCAAAATGCTTTTGAAATAATATTTTTGGAGCATCAATTTTGTCTTTTTGCCACGTCTTCCACAAATGTCATTCCATGATGAAATTTTGCAAGCAATTAAAACATTTGTTGATGTTTGCTAAAAAAATCAGGTCTCTTTTTTATGAATTTTCCTCATTTTTTGGATTTATTGTTCACCTAAACTCATATGAGCTCAAGCTCAGATAATCCGTGTCCTTGCCTTCTTTGGCCTCTGTGTGAAACCCTCTCTTAATTAATGAAATAAGGCACCATTCGGCATGAGCGGTAAGCTATCTTAAAACATATCAACAAATAAATTAATAAAATGGGGCAAATCCTTTGCATTTATTTTTGGGAAAATTTTAATTGAATTTGGAAAAAAAATAACATCGTTGCAAACATACCATTCACTTCAACAATATACTATTCTGAGATTTTCTTCCACTTGTAAGCTTGATTTTAGCACATGTTTCTCCGTGGAAATAACCTAGGAAGGATATGGAGCTAGTAGCTGCTAACCAAGTCTAAAGAAAGATTCTAGTAAAGCAACCAGGCGGAGGAGTGGTGCACCTTGACCACCACACAATGTGCATTGACAAAATTATTGTGAACACACCGAACTTCTGAAACAGGTCTTTACCTACCAAGAACACTAGCGACCCAGAAGGCCATCGTCATCCCCTCATTGGCCATGCTCAACAGGTCGCCATTGTTGGGGTTGGTGAGAAGATTCCAGAAAGGTAGGTACTTTGACATGAGCTGCCAGAGGGAAGAGGAGATTGTGTTGGTTCGTTTTCTCCATTCACACTTCTTCACCAACTCCAACCGCAAATTTGACGGACTACGTTCTCCTGAAAACTGAGGCAGGAGAGACCAGAATAGAGTTTTGGTGAAGTAGTAGAAAGCAACAGTGCGTGTAAACCATTTGTAAGACATCATCTCCCATGTCACGCCTATGTAAGATGTGCGTACAAAATTCCAAGCATAAATCATCGCCAGTTTCATGCATGGTCCACTTGCATCCACAGGTTATATATATGGTTCAGGACCTGAGTGTTTTGATTATCATTAATACAAAATGGTTATAGCCCAAACCTAAAAATTTCTTGGACGCGCGCAACCTTTCGGAGCATGATTGAAACTCTACTTTTTGGATTCCTCTGTTTCTCCTCCAACATTATTGTGTGCCAAGAAAAAGCTCAAGAGAAAATTACTCCTACCTGTCAGGCGTGCTTGGGAAGACCCTGGAGTGAAAATTGGTGGCAGGTGAAGAGGTTTTTTTGCTAGGCATAATAATGCATGTATACAAAGTAGTACTACGTTGGTAGGCCGTGCCCTGGCCTCCACTAAGTGCTGCCATTTCTTTCAGCAAAGTGTCACCGCTACTCAGCTGCCACTAGCTTAGCCCAATACCCACCCAACACATTAAGCTGTCCTCCTCCTGCCCCAACAACGCCACACATCCCCACATCCATTTCGATAAGGATCCCAGAGCTCCAGCTCCTGCATCGCCTCCAATGGCGGCTGCTGCTGCTTCAACAGGTAAATGCATGCATCGATATGAAAACTGAGGAGAAACAATGAGGCAGCAGTTTTGGTTATCAGACAAATGCATGCATGCATACGTTGCCGTGTACGTGCGGTTCGTTAACTAGTTGTGCGTCGATGGTGTGCAGGGAACGGGAGCCCGCCGGTGGGTCTGCTGGTGCTGATGGTGCTGGCATTGGCGGCCGGGTGGTTCGCGAACGCCGTTCGCCCGCCGACGCCGACGCCTTGCGGGGCGCCGGGAGGGCCGCCGGTGACGGCGCCGAGGGTGCGGATGCGCGACGGGCGGTTCTTGGCGTACGCGGAGTCCGGCGTGAGCCGGGACGGCGCGCGGTTCAAGGTCGTCTACTCGCACGGCTTCTCCGGCAGCCGCATGGACTCGCCCCGCGCCTCGCAGGCGCTGCTGGAGGAGCTTGGCGTGTACATGGTGGCGTTCGACCGCGCCGGCTACGGCGAGAGCGACCCCGACCCGCGCCGGTCGCTCCAGAGCGCGGCGCTCGACATCCAGGACCTCGCCGATGCGCTCGACCTCGGCGACAAGTTCCACCTCATCTGCTCCTCCCTCGGCTGCCACGCCGGCTGGGCCTCCGTCAAGTACATCCCACACAGGTAATTAAACCTCCTCAAAGTTTCTGCTCTGAAACTGAAGACCCCGCGCGTAAGGTTCAGTGATCGGCGACACTAACGA